CTTCAATGAAAGTACTGAGACAGACAGAAAGGTTAGGTGTCTTTTGTCTTGCCCCGGTTAGGATTTCTTAAGCAAATCCACTGGGCTTTCAACATGAAGCCAGAAAAAAATCAGGACTTTTTTAAAATGCGGAGGGATACGGGACAAATTGTTATAAAGCGTGATTGTCACACTGAAATCGGGACATCTGGTCACCTTAGTTTTTGCTGGCAAAGGGTTGCAGGAGGCCGTTGCAGCTGAGAACGGAGCTCGGGAGCCTGTTTTCAATGGCAGAGTGGTCAGGCCACTACGGATACGCCTGACATAATTGACGGTGAGCTGGCCATGCCCTCCCTTGCCACCCCACCCTCCAGGGGGGCAAGGTCAAACCCAACCCTAATTCGGCCCTCAATGAAATCTTGTTTGACATGCCTGGTTTCTGCTTAAGCAGAGTGCTGGACTAAAAGACCTGCAAGGTCCCTTCCAACTCTGTTATTCTATGGGATTTGCACTATGGATTCTTATGCATGAGAAGAGGCCTCTGGGGAGGAATGATTACCTGCCAAGGCTGTAGCTTCTGAATCTCTAACCTGCTTCCAGCTTTCATCACCCACCTCTTGGAGAGAGATAAATGTGCAGCATTGAAGGCCCGTGCTGTGGCCCAGACGATGTTGTAAATGCGAGAGCTGTCTAAAGATAAAGCCCTTTGGCGGTCTTCCTGTGGCAAGGTCTCCCATGTCTCTTTCTCTGTGCATCTTCTCCTGCCTTTCACAGTCAAGACATGCTTCAAGTAGGAACAACTAAAGACTTTGGCTACAAACTCTCCCACGGAATCATAAAGGGCTTCAAAATCACCAGGTTTCCTCTTTGTATTTGTCTGCATATAGAAAGAAAAAATGCCGTGGGTGTATTGGAAAGAGACGTCACTATACAGCAACTCTAAAGAGAGATCCCAGAGAGCTGTCGTGACCCAGATTTTTCCTACAATAGGCCTTGTCAAGACCGCGATTACTTTTTGTATCACAAATATTGCTTTTAGGAAAGAGCTAGCTTCAGCGTAGTAAACAAAGACGTTGATTTGCTTCCATCTGGAGAATAGGGCAAAGCGAACATTGACACTCCTGTCGGTTACCGAAATGCTTTGGGATACAACCGCACAAATGCCGTTCTTTATTAGCATAGGGGTCAAAATCCCCATAAACCTCTCTCCGTTGTCGGTGTCTGCCACAACGAGTCCTATCAAGGTCCAGCTAAAATGCAGGAGCAGTTGGATAATTCCTGGCTTCCGAGTTCCATCTTTGGGGACCGCTTGATAAGAAAAAGGAAAATGGGTTTTATCTGACCGAACTGGAGAAGCAAAATTATAACTGAGCTGAAAAGAAAAGGGAGAGGTTAATAGTTTACTTTGCAGGGTCCTTGGTGCCCTCTGAGTTTGCTTGTTTTCTTGCAGACGTTTCATTACCCTAACTAGGTAACATCATTAGTGCTAGTAAGGAGTGCTGCTTGCTATCAATTTATATTCTGGTGACTTGCCTCTCTGTGTGGGTGGAGGAGGCTTTAGAGATTCTTTGGTTAGGCTGTTTACTGATGGTTTTTTGGCAGCTTCTTGATTGGGGTATTGTTTACTTGATTGTTGGTCTGAAGTTATTTGGTCAGATACTGTTGTGGCCCAGCAGGAGCCATTAGAGCTGCCACCAGACTCCGACAGTGAGGGGCCCTATGAGTCGGCTCTGGAGGATGTGGAGGACCTTGGACAGAGTTCTGACTCCGAGCAGGGCACAGAGAGGCTGGTTGGCCACCAGGAGGCGCTTGAACCTTGGACCAGTGAGGAGGAGACAAGTGAGAGTGATCCAGAAGCCAGCAGTGAGTTGTTCCTGGATGCCCGGCACCAAAGAGCTAATAGGCGTCAGGAACAGTTGCGCAAGTACA